ACAGAAAAGATCACACATCTCTTAATAATATATAGTCATATATTTATTCATACTGCCATATCCACTTATATTGGTTAATTGTACAAAATAAAAAAAATTCGAAGTACAGTCTTTGTGAGGGTTTCAATCCCCATGGACCAAAATCTAACGTCCTTGTCTCAAACCGTGACCCCCAAATTGTAAATGTGTCTGTGTATCCCAAGATCAGAGCCCAAAAACTCCACAAGATAGACACACTCATTGATAACAAGGTAACTTGATTGAGAGGGTGTGTGTGTGTGTGTGTGTGTGTGTGTTTATGAGAAAATGACAGACAGATAGAAAGAGAAACAGATATTAGGCATAAAAGGTAAAAATACAACAAAACAGGAACAAGGGGCAGAATATTTTTTAACATAACCTGAAAACTGCATGTATGACTTAAAAATAGCGGTACTATTTAGGGAATTGTTGACTATTGAAAAATTACGTCAATGTGCCGTGGCCTTCCTAATAAAACTAGCTTCTAGTAAGTCAACTCGATGTCTGCAATACTACAATTTAAAAATGACAATACTTGTATTATGGAGTTAGATACAAGCACATCAGTTATAATGTGTCAGTCCAACTGCTCATGGTTCATTTTCTCCATTAACTGCAATCTTAATAAAGGACAAATGCAAAGAAGGGACACGGCCATTGTACACAGAGACTGAATATTCCTTGTCAACATGTCTGTTTATGCGAGAAAATCTAAAAGTTGAAAAAGTGACTAAAAATAGTATGCCTGGAAATACACCGGCTTTATGACGACAGTTTTCCGAAAAAACTTGACGTACTGTAATAAGAGCCTGTTTTATCAACAAACTGAACAATTGGCTCGCACGCTTCCCTTACGGCATTCCTAAAAAAGCAAAGTGACAACATTTGATGTGAAGGAACATGTATGAAGCAAAGTCACATTTCACCCCAAAATCCAGAGTTTTTTGAACACTTTACTTCAGGTTTCATTAGGTAACATTAGTTAATATATTCACTAAAATGAACTAGCCAGGAGCAATACATTTGTTACTGTATTTGTTAATCTTTGTTAACATTAATTAATAAAAAATACAGCTGTTCATCGTTTGTTCATGTTGTTCAAGTGGATGTTAACTAATGTTAACAAATACAACTTTCTATTTTAATAATGTATTAGTAAACGTTGAAATTAACATTAACAAAGATTAGTAAATGTCGTAAAAGTGCATTATGTTAACTAATGTAGTTAATGTTAACTAATGAAACCTTATTGTAAATTGTTACCGTTTGGTTTTTTTTACAAGAAATGAAAGCGATTCTACTAATATTTAGACATTTTGTATTGTGACATTTTCATATTAATAAACCAGTTAATTTAAAAACTTTTTTTAATAAAGTGTAAAGTATTTATTGAATAGTTTACTTAATTTGATAATGATGTCCAACAGTGGGTATACATGCATTTTTTAATATATAATTATATATATATATATATGTGTTTGTGTGTATATATGTTTATACATGTATAAAAATGTACATATGTATACACAAACACCCACACATATATATACACATATATATGCTCTTCCTTGATTATATGGAAATAATGAAATGATGTCACAATACAAAAATTGTCTTAAAATAAGCTTAATTTCTCTATGAAAATTATCTGAGGGTTCAAATATAAACTGTTCACGTTGTAAACACGGTGCAGCACTTCTGGGAAAAGCTCAGAGAGCTCTCAGATTTCATCAAAAATATCTCCATTTGCATTTCCCGAAGATGAATGAAAGTCTTGCAGGTTTGAAACGACATGAGGGTGTGAAATTAATGACAGAATTGTCATTTTTGGGTGAACTACCCCTTTAATGCTTCCACCTAGAAACACTGATTTCTCCAGGATGGCTCAGATGTATGTTGTTTAATGCTCTAGAAGTTCTAGCATGCCTGAAGAAATTTGTTCAATGGCAGTGTATAACAGAAACTACAGCTGCAGTCAATTATTATTAGTCTCTAGAAAGATTGTTGTAGCCTATTATGTGAATCACATTTCAGCTTTGTCGTTTTGCTCTGAGAGCATCTTGTTAATCAGCGATTGTCTCAAACCTGATTAAATTGCTCTTATATCATAAGACATACCGTACTGTGAACTACACTGAAAATGAGTCATGAGAACTTACAAATGCATGACATGTAAAGAATCTCAGGTGCTATCGAAGAGATCAGTAAATCACAGATGATCTCATACACAGCTGAAAATGAAATACACATCTCTGACTGCAAATGGAGGACGCGTTTAAAGTCAAAAAGACCAAAAAATACAAAGCACCTGATGACATCTATGAGTCTCATACGATCACAGTATTTAGAAAACCTACTTCGAAATACTGCTTTTTATTGCATATATGATTCCTCTGAAATACTTTTGTCTAAAGAGTGCGAGGGAAATAAAATGCGTTCAGTATGTTCATCCCAGCCGTGATCCTCTCTGTCTAAGTGTAAAAGACTGAGTACTTCAGTACTTTTTGGAGCAACTGAATAGAAATTCAATTAAAAGCTGCTTATTGTAATTGCAATTTTCATCAAATATATTCAAAGAAGTTTTTATGCCACAAAAAATGCATATATAGGGCACTGCATCGCCTCCAGCTCATCCATATTCTTTCATAAAGCCCTATCAAAATATTCTACATATAGCAACTCATTTCAATAAGGTCATTATCTAATGCTTACCTACAGAAATTCACAAAGAGAAAAATAGACGTTAACATTTTCACCTCACATGACTCAAAACAGAGGCTAAACTGAGAAGACCACAATCATGATGAAAACAAGTACAACAAACATTCTAGAACAAACGCTTTTGATTGTTTTCATAATCGGAGTACATCAGCTCAGAAATCAGTATGTCCGTGTACTTTAGAAGTCAGCAGATGATTGATTGTAATCGGTTGATTTATTTGCTCACTTTCTTTTGAGGACGCAGAAGAATCAGTGGCGACGTCGTGAAAGCAAACACCGCTAAAACACATCAGGCCTCATTCATGAAACACAAGAACAAACTAATTACTGTGGAAATTGCTTGCCACACAGTCCTTCGGAAACTAAATTGCGTGTTTCTTCAGCTGTGACTTTTTATCTCAGTGGTAGGCTACGTTTAAAACTGTCATTGAAACTTTGTTATCATGCCTTTACTATTTATTTATTTTTTCAAATGTCTTTTATGTATATATTCTGTTGTCTTACCTTCATCCAAGACCCTGACTTCTTCAATCTTAAACTTATCTTAAACCATCATAAAAATATTATTACATTTGAAAAAAATATGATCTAAACATAAACCACATCAATGATTGTCATTCATCTGAGTGTCAGTGACGACGCTTGAGACAACGTATAATAATATATGATAGTAAAATGCTAGCAAATGTATAAAATATATTTTTTAATAAAATAAATAAAATAAAAATACTTTGAGATGTGATGGAAATGAAAAATTACAGTTCAAACAACACACACACAAATATATATATATATATATATATATATATATATATATATATATATATATATATAAATAACTGATCAAATATATATTTATATATATTAACATTTTATTAGTTAAATTGTTTAAAAAAATTATATATGTGTGTGTGTGTGTGTGTGTGTAAGTTTCGAGAGAGTGTCTGTGAGTGAGAGTTTGTGCATTTGCGTGAGTGAGTGAGTGAGTGTGTGTGTGTGTGTGTGTGTGTGTGTGTGTGTATGAGTGAGTGAGAGACCTTGTGTGTATATGTGTGTGTGTGAGAGAATTGTAAACACACATACATTATATATATATATAAAAACGTGTGAGAGAGTGAGAGCGTGTGAGTTTGTGTAAGTTTTGAGAGAGTGTGTGTGAGTGAGAGTGTGTATTTGCGTGAGTGAGTGAGTGAGTGAGTGAGTGTGTGTGTGTGTGTGTGTGTGAGAGAGAGAGTGTATGAATGATTGAGAGCTTGTGTGTATGTGTGAGTGTGTGTGTGAGAGAATTGTAAACACACACATACATTACATATATATAAAAAACTGATTATATATATATATATAATATATATATATATATTTATATATTAGGATGTTATCAGTTTCGTGTGTGCGCGTGTGTGTGTGTGTGTGTGTGTGTGTGTGTGTGTGTGTGTGTGCACATGCAGGTGTGAGAGTGAGTGTGTAAGTTTGTGTGAGTGAGAGAGTGTGTGTGTGTGAGTGAGTGAGTGAGTTTGTGTGTATGTGAGTTTGTGTGTATGTGTGCGAGAGTGAGAGTGTGTGTGTGTGTGTGTGTGTGTGGGGGGGGGGGGGGTTATTTGAACTGTCATTTTTCTGAATCCAGATAATTTCCACCACATCTCAAAGTATGTATTTGGTATTTATTATTTAGTTTATTTAAATAAATTAATGAGAATGTGAAAAGTGTGTTATTTAGGACCACAAGCCATGGTGAAGTACTGAATTTATGAGAAAAATTAATTCTGCTTGTTTCATGAATGAAGCCCACTGCCGTTCTCTCCATCATCACGAATGACAGATTCACACACACACACACACACACACACTTACTTCACAGTGCAGCACGCAAGACACTCTCTCATCCGCCCAATACATACACATTTTCCCACTTGCCTTTTTAACTACAGCCTAAATCTGTATGCCCTGGACCTCGATGTAACTCTGACGCCTTCGAAATAGTAAAGGCCGATAAATAAATAAAAAGCTAGATTTGGAAATGAATCATGCTTTAAAAATATTCAATCTCTGCTCTAAGTTTAACAAAGCCACCGAGAGCAACACAAACAGAGAGAAAGAGAATCCATGTGTATGTGAGAGATGTGTTTGAATGTGTGTCTTTAGGGGCTCACAGGTTAAAGACCACCATTACTGTGTGTTTAGGGCCAAGAAAGATGAGCTGTTACCTTGTGATCGTCTCCTGTTTCTACCATGATCTCGAATTAAATCGAGGTGGTCCATCCAATAACAAGTGGCCATTTATTTTTCAGAAAGGCCCCATTGTTCTGTTCTCCAAAAAGTTTGCAATGAACAAAGTAGCACATTCCCCCAATTCGTCCACTTTAATTACCCTATAAGAGTCTTGTATAAAGCCATTGAATGGACTGTAGTGTTGATTAAAGCTCATGACTGGGTGTGGAGTTCTGTATGCCTCTCGGTCACTCCCGTGCGCTCTGACCCGGGACCCACCAGCACGTGCTCTAGGTGGACCAGGGGGCGAGAGGTCAAGATGCACAGTCCGCTTTACATCATAGAAGGATACAGCAGCGGCAGAATCTCTGGCGGCTCCCGCCCACCGATGGAGGCGGAGTCACGGGTGCAAAGTAGGCGTGAACTTTAATGTTGGGCAAGTGAGTCTAAAGATGGAAAAAAGAAACAAAGTGCATAAAAAAAGAAGCTCGCTAGCATATGATATATCATACGGATTACTCACAAAAACACAATATAATTTATAATTAAACATGAACATCAGTGCATTTTGAGATGATCAGCACAGGCTGATGTGTTGTGTGAGCTCCCTCTTGTGTTCATTACGAAATCTACAGACAGCATTGTCAATGGATCATCAACTAATTAATGTTGTCTAATACTTTTCATTGATTTTAATACAATAACTGTGTGTATTGTCTAAAATACAACTGTAATTGTGTATTGTCTAAAATGCAACTGCTTAAAATAAATGGTTATTTTAAGTTACAAAATGTGTGCAATTGTTTAATCTTACAATTTAATTTAGTTGTTACAACAACCTTTGAAATATATATAGATATAGATATAGAAATGTATTACACTACCGTTAAAAAGTTTGGGGACCGTACGGTTTCTTTGAAAAGAAACTAATACTTTTATACGGTAAGGTCCAAAAGTGACAGTAAAACACAAATTTTGTAATGTTATAAAATATTTCCATTTCAAATAAATGCTGTTCTTTTGAACTTTCTATTCAAAGAATCCAGAAAAGAAATTATATTGAGCAGCACAACTGTTTTTTTGTTTTGTTTTTACAATTACATTTATGCATTGGGCAGACAGTTTATCCAAGGCAAGTTTTCAGTAAGATTTTTGTTTTGTTTTGTTTTTTATAAATAAATACTTTTATTCAATAAGGATGCATTAAATTGATCACAAATTACAGTAAAGACATTTATAACAAAAGATTTATATTTCAAATAAATGCTGTTCTATTTAATTCTACTAAAAGAATCCTGAAAAATCATGGTTTCCACAAAAATTAAGCATCAAAAATGTTGATTGATAAGAAATCTTTCTGGAGCAGCAAATCTTCATATTAGAATGATTTCTGAAGGATCATGTGACACTGAACACTGGAGTAATGATGCTGAAAATTCAGTTCTCGTCACAGAAAAATATTTAAAAACAGTTATTTTAATTTGGATTAATATTTCACAATAGTAGTTATTTTCTGTATTTTTACTGTGAGCATAAGACGTGGAACCTTATTTCAGATTTCAAGATGCATCACATCATCGAAGAACAAAATCTAATCAGAGCAATTATTTACACTTGTAATATCTTTAGAACCCATTTAAACCAATTCATACATTTCTTGAACCATACCAAGAACTGCAAATCAAACCTAAATCTATACATATCCCAAACTAGTTTTATTTTAGTATCCATAAGATAAGAAACAACAAACCGCTGTGTTTTACCTCTCACTGCAGAAGGAAAAAAAGGTCTCACCCTCAAGCGTTTGATGCCGGCGCGGGTGATCTGTTGACAGTCGTACAGCTCGATGCGGTCCAGGCTGTGACAGGTTTTCAGATGCTCTAACGAAGCATCTGTAATGAGCGGGCAGTTGTCGAGCTCCACCACCTCCAGTCGGTCATGAGCACAGGGTCCACTGCCCAGCTGCCTGATGCCATCATCAGTGATCAGCTCACAGTGGGACAAACTCTGAAACATCAACGACAACAAGAAATACATAAACAAGCCCATGACACCCAAGCAATGTTTCAGCAATTATTAGTATTAATTACATATTCTGATTAATTGCAATTAATCACATATATAAATAGCAGCTGAGAAAAGCCCTCAAATGAAAATTAGACATTGTGACATTATTTTGGCAGATTTAAAAAAAAATATTAAAGGGATAGTTCACTTTGAAATTCATTTTTAATATGTTTTAGCTTACCTCAAGGGCATCCAAGATGTAGGTGTCTTTGTTTCCGCAGTAGTTTCAATTTTGATATTTTTAGGTCAAACCGTTCTTGTCTGTCAGTCATATAATGCAGGTCTATGGTCACCACCTCAAAGAGCATGCACAGAGAAGTCCAAATTAAACATGATTTAATGACTCGTAAATGTAAGTACACATTGATAGCCTAAGACACGAAACGAGCGGTTTGTGTGAGAAAACTAACAGTATTTATATCGTTTTTAGCTCTTGTGAACACAGCCACGTCCAAGTGATCTGACGGCGCCGGCGGTTCGGTCTTTTCCGGCAAGCGCCGGAAGTGATCTCTCGCGCGTGTGCGTCACTCATTGTTTACACAGAACAGAGATTGTAGGTAAGACGACTAATTAAAATGGTACTAATTTGCGCTTATCCGGGATGTTTAAACCGTCGTAAGAGAAAACAGTTAAAAAATAATAATAATAAAACAATTGCATGAGTGACGAACACGGGCGAGAGATCACTTCCGGCGCTTGCCGGAAAAGACCGAAGCGCCGGCGCCCTCAGATCACTTGGACTGTGGTTACAAGAGGTAAAAACGATTTAAATACTGTTCGTTTTCTCACACAAACCGCTCGTTTCGTGTCTTAGGCCATCAATGTGTACTTACATTTACGAGTCATTAAATCATGTTTAATTTGGACTTCTCTGTGCATGCTCTTTGAGGTGGTGACCATAGACCTGCATTATATGACTGACAGACAAGAACGGTTTGACCTAAAAATATCAAAACTGAAACTACTGAGGAAACAAAGACACCTACATCTTGGATGCCCTTGAGGTAAGCTAAAACATACCAAAAATTTATTTCAAAGTGAACTACCCCTTTAACACATTAAATTGACACCACTAAAATACAAATGTATATTTTTTTTATTGTAAATTTTGTTTTTAACCCTTACCAGAACCTGGAGTCGAGGGCAGTGTATAGATAGCTGGATGAGCGTTCCATCTGTTATCTATGGAGAAAGAGGAAACGTTATAACATTTATAACATTTTATAGAGCGTTTATAGAGCACTTTGCATGCAATAATAAATAAATAAATAAATACAATTATAAATATTCATGCTAACTGCATTCATTGATAATCAACAAAAGAGCAAATAGCATTAGGAACTATACTCCCTTTTCATTGTCAGACAATATAAGACAAATAACTGCAATCACACAGTCAATGTCTATAATAAAAAAAAAATTGGGATCTAGGGAGTCCTCTAGTGGTAATTAGCACAACAAAACTCAAGTTATAAACAATGATTATAAAAACTAAAATGTATAATTAGAAGATACATTAAGGCTTACAATTTAACCTTCAAATAAACAAACTACTCTGCTCTGATTGGTCAGACGGCCAGTCTGTTGTGATTGGTCCACCACTTACAGCGCATGTGGAAAGTATCTGAGTTTCAGCTCCGGATCTTCCTCAGCACTTGATACACACAGTAATACTTTAAATGAGTCCACCCTCCAAGATTACTTTTATAAACATGAACCTCGTCTGAGGTCTAGTTTTAAGTATAATTCTACTGAAGTGATGGTGCTTTATGTAACGTTATCTAGTGTAAGTGATAAATCCTGTTTGACATGCGTACTGGCTAGTGGCTACTAAACAGCCCACCGAAGAATTTGCTGATTTTCAATTGGAATCAGTACTGGCTGCAGATGAAGTCTTAATTGTTGGTGATTTTAATATACATGTAGATACTGAAAAAGATGCACTGGGATTGGCATTAGACAACACGTGTCAGGAGGACCCACGCATAGTCGTAATCATACTTTATATCGAATATTGTCACATGGAATCGATGTTGACGCCGTTGGAATTCTGCAGCAGAGCGATGACATCTCAGATCATTAACAAACTCCCTGTTACAAACATGGTAGAACTATCACTTGTACCACCAAATCATAATCACACCGTGTTTGTTCGCTGGCTTAGAGGAGAAGAGTTATCATCAGCAAAAGTGATTGATCACTTCAATTGAGGGTTTTATCAAATGTTATATTCTTAATGTAGAATTAATACAAATTTAAATCATGTATGTAACAACATTTTAACATTTTGTAATCATGTATTTTCATGCCAACCCATTCTGACTCACCTGTACACACTCTTCTAAATCCATCTTTTCTAGTTCATGACAATTCTGTAAAATAAGAGGAAATGATGCGCTTGATTTCTGTTGTTAGAAGCTCCAGAGGTTCAGCACAGATGGAGGTTTGTGCTTGTCAGATCGTTTACTCACCCGTGCTAGTGAGGTGAAGCCTACATCTGTAAGCTGAGAGCAGCGAGCCACCTCTAATATTCTACAGACACAAAAATATCAATGGATAAAAATTGGTTAATTGCATGCAAATGCATGGGTTTGATTATGTGTGTGTGTGTTATGTACCTGAGACGAGGGCAGTTTTGGCCCAAGGCATTGAGAATAGCATCTGTGATGTTTGCACAGCCAGACACACACAAAGACTGCAGCCGATGGCACCCGCGACAGATGGTTATAAGACCTTCATCTGTGATCTGCTGCTCGATTCACACACAGAGATATACCTAGATGAGGAAACCATCCCATCCAGTGTATGAGAGAATGTGAATGTGTGAGTCTTACTGAACACGTCTGCAAATTGAGTGTGACCAGTTCTGGACAATGTGCTCCAATATGCTTTAATGCTTCGTCTTCCAACTATAAAGAGAGAAAACATAAAAGAGAGACAGATAATGTGCAACTAAACGATTGATCGGATTTAAAGAGACAGTACTCCCGTCATCATTTACTCACCCTCGTGTTGTGTCAAACCCATATGTTTTTACATAGAATACAAAATGTGGAGATTCAGTGACAACAAATCAATGACAACAATTACCATAAAAGTCTTCTAAAGATATATGATAGCATATGGACTATGTTCTTCTATTTCTCTTTGTTTCTTTTGTTCTTTTTGTCCTTGTCAGGTTATTATTGCATGAAATAGGAAGTTCCACTGTTGATAACCATGGTTAATCTAGACGTTAAAACATGAACCATATTTTCACATGTTAGTTGATGAATAATCTTTCGTTTTTTGTAAACACTGTAGCCCGTTTGCTTAACTTGTGCCGTGCGTCAACCAATGCCATGAGTTCGGGTCAAGACTATATTATTTTTGTAATATTTTGAACCTTTTATTTTATCTTTCATTTGAATTTTATTCATTTTGTTATGTGCTTTTGTCATTTTTATTAGTTTTTGTTGTTTAATTAATTTCTACATAGCTTTCATTTTTATTTCAGTTTTAGAAATTTCAGTACTTAAATTTTAATTCAAGGTTTATTTTACTTTTTAATTTGATTTTATTTATATATATTTACAGTTTATTTTAATTTGTTGAAATAATTTAGTTTTTAACAATTTTGTTATGTACTTTTTTTATATATAGCTTTATTTTTTATTTCCAATTTGAGAGTTTTAGCAATTTTAGTACTTCACCTTGAACTTATTTCAGTTAGTTGCCAAGGCAAAAGGTTTTGTTCGTTAGCATGAACTAAAATTAATAAATGCTGTAGAAGAATTGTTCATTGTTAGTCCATGTTAATTTCAACATTTACTAATGTGTTATTAAAATCAAAAGATGCATTTGTTAACATTAGTTAATGCACTATGAATTAACAAACAATGAACCAATATTTCCACCAACATAAACAAAGATGAATTAATAAAAATAAATTGCTCATTATTAATTCATATTAGCTAATGCATTAACTAATGTTAACAAAAGATACCTTAGACCTGTAGACCTTACAAGTGTTACATTTAGATTTTATTTTAGCTTTAGTTCAATTCAAAATGCTACAAGTGGCTTTAAATAACACAGAAAAGGGCTGAAGGATGATGTGAAAGTCCAGTATCACCTGTGTGCAGCCCTTGAGGAACAAGCCTTTGAGTCCTGGACAACATCTCACAAGTGCCTGTATGCCGTCTTTGGTCACCTGATCACACCACGAGATGTTCAACTGCTCTAGCAAAGGACAGCCCTCGCTACAATGACACACAGAGAGACGTTTAGCCCTAGAGAAGCATTCTGCATAACCAGCAAGTGTGTGTGTCTGCGACCTCTGACCTCAGAGCTTTGAGGGACAGGTTCGTGATTGAGGTGCAGGACGCAAGATCCAAGTGCTTCAGTTTGGGACAAAATTTACTCAAGCTGTTACAGGTACTGCAAAAAGAAAGACAGAAGTTCAATGGAGATCAAAAAGCACTTTCACACTCACACACTCTCACACACACACACACACCTGTCAGTGATCTTGGTGCAGCCATTGAGGCTGAGCAGCTCAATATTTCTGCAGTTCTGGGCAAACGTTCTACGAGAGAAAGGAAATTTTACATGATTAAACTTTAAACAAAGCTTGAATTTCCCTCCAATGTCTTTAGTCCATATGTGATGTCTTTCAGAATGGAAAGCATTCCTAAACTCATTCTTATTAAAGAGGCAATCTACTTTCTTGACAGGTCTTAAAGTCAGCATGAAATGGCATGAAAGTTGAAATAGTCTTTTCTTCCTTATCGTGACGTATATCTGAGTGTAACGGCTTCTCATACAAGAAAACATGAAGGGCGGGACTTGATTTTGTCCATGGGGTTTTGATTGGATGGTTGTGGTTTACTATTGGTCGATCTCATGTGAGTGACAGGTTGTCCCGCCCCCACGCCAGTAAACGCATCATCAGAGAAGAGAAGAGATGTCGCTGAAAGAGGGAGGGGAAGTTATTTTGATAAAAGATTACAAGGGTACATATGAAGAGTTTGGTTCCAAAACACGATAAACGCCATTTAAAAAAAAAAACGAGTTACTGCAAAAATCAGTATTGTATCTGGTTGGTATTGAAAAGTCAATGTTTAATTTTAAGTAAAATGCGATATCCGCCGTGTTATTCTGTCATGTTTTCTCCCTTTCTTTCCAAACCGCGACAAACGCCAGTCTCCCTTCTCTGCAGAATGCGATATATCCGCTCTCAACCAATCACAACGCACCATTCCACGCAATGTAAACAGTAACGGCAGCGTCTTAAATACACCCGGCTTCCTAGTTTTTCTTATCTATTTTGTACTTTTCGATCAACAAACAAACAAACAAAAAAAGAATAATTTTGACGGCATTGATGAACCTGTGGTTGTTTGCGGTGGGTAAGAAACGTAAGGCATCGAAATCGAATCATTTACGTGAGGAGATTAAGAAGATGAGGCACTCGGGAGGAGGAAAAATGTTTTCAATCTTCTTTACAGTTCTTAATAAAAATATTATACTATTAAACTTACGTTGTTGTGTATGTTCAACAGTTTCAATATGAAAAAAAAAAACTTTTATATTGATTCAATGGATTAATTGCATTTTGATTTAAAAAAAAAAAAACATGGATTTATTGCATTTTGGGGAAAAAAATAATCCGTTTTTATAATAAATCTTTGAAAATCAAAACCTGGATTTAATTTTTGTTTGTTATTATGACCTACAAATGCAATGTGAAAGTTTGAAACAGAAAATAGTGGTTTTCATCTTTTTACTTTCTTGGTAAAGAAAACACATTTTTACTCAAATTAATCTAAATGGATTTATTGCGTTTTGGAACCAAACTCTTCATATATAAAATAAAAAAAAGAATGATGTGCACGGATAAATTATTTAGAATAAAACTGCAATATTCCATCAAAAAAATACAAATTTTCGTTTTTGATTTCATGGGGACTTTTAGGCTTATTCACATAAAGGGCAAAATGACAAAGTGAACCGAAATGGTTTTTTGCTCTAAAACTATTAACAAAAGGTTTGCATGCATGAAACATCACACATTATGCAAACATCCTGTAAGCCATTTTAGCAGTTTTATATTAAAATGATTGACAGGCAAAAGCGTTTCTGATTGGTTGGCCTTTTCTGCTTTAGAGTTGACACAGGCCCTGTTTAAACCGGGTATTAAGATGCGTTTTGGTCATTCGGATCACAAGTAGACGAGGAAGACAGCCCTCGTTTACACCAGGTATTTTAATCTATCTCTTTTGTCCACTTTTTTAATCACTTCTGTCCTGATTTCTTCAAGGGGAGGGTCTATGGCCATAGGCGCTCTGTCAGATCTTTCTATCTAATGGATGAAATAACCTTGTGCAATTTACATTCGATCGCGCCCGGAGACAACGGAAGAACATAAGGAGAGCAGCAGCAGACACAAGACCAGCCAAACACTGTGAGTGTGTGTTAGAAATCAGGAACGGTGAGAAAACATTGTGCTTGGTACGTTTGTCGTCTTCAAACCAAACTTGGGTCTCAAGACGAAAAAAGTGAAATCCCGTCTGGCTAGCGCGCTTCCCATTATGTTTAAGCATTAGGTCACTAGGCAGAGAGTAGACAGTTTTTTTTTTTGTGGCTGTTCAAACACATTTGATCACATTAGCGTTAACTCTACGAAATCAATCCTGTCCAATGCGTTTTTGCCTACGTCTGGAAGTGGTCGAAAGTGGAACAGCTCAAAATATTTTGAACCCGTTTACACCTGTATTTAGCGTCGTCCACTTGTGATCTAATCGACCAAAACTCATCTTGATTCCAGATGTAAACAGAGCCACAAAGACAGGTGGGCTTTCTCACAACCCCTATTCTAATTCAATGATATCTGTGTTAGGTAGTAGGGACATTTAATCACTCGCACCAACTTCAAAATAAAACTCAACAATTTCCCTGAGATTGCATGAACTGATCAAATGTATTCACTACCGTTTAAAAGTTTGGGGTCTGTATGATTTTATAATGTTTTTGAAAGAAGATTCGGTAACACTTTACAATAAGGTTCATTAGTTAACAATAGTTAATGTATTAAAGGGACAGTTCACTCAAACATTTCAATTACCCCATGATTTACTCACCCTCAAGTCATCCAAGGTGTACATGACTTTCTTCTTTCAGACGAATACAATGTCCTGGCTCTTCCAAGCGTTATAATGGCAGTGATTGGCTGTTTCTGTTTTGAAGTCCATCAAAGTGCATCCATCCATGATAAAAGTGCTCCACACGGCTCCGGGGGGTTATTAAAGGCCTTCTGAAGCCAAGCGATGTGTTTGTGTAAGAAAAATATCCATATTTAAAACTTTATCAAGTAGAATAACTAGCTTCCGGCCAAACGAACATACGGATTCCACTTAAAGCCCCGTTCACACCGCCAGCGACACGCAGCGACAAAGCGACACGATCCCATTCATTTCAATGGAGCGCTGGCGACATCCGGCGACACGAGCGACAGTGACCGTTGGCGACAGAATGTGGGCGTGTCAAGCGACAAGAGACAAAAGTTGAGAATTTTCAACTTTATGCAAATGAGAAGCGATTTTCGCGAGCGAGAACCAATAGGAAAGAAGACTTTCAGTGGAGCTCACGTCACCGTCTCGAGTGCAGGCAAGACAGAAGAGTTCAGGGAGATTTCACTGTTTTATATGATTTGACTGTAACCACATACATGGATATAATAAAATGACGAATGGAAAAGAAACTGTCGACAGTCTCAGTGAGTTTAATTCATATACATTTATAGTTTGAGTGTTGTAATTTTATGATGCAAGTTTAGCACTGCAGCAGATCATTTTACAGTTTCCCTGCATTATGTTGACTATTAGGGACAAGAAAATTGATTATTTGTCAAATTCGAATGACGTTTTAGTCATTTATGACAGAATGAGTGAGTTTAATTTGTTGATTGATCGATCGTTAATCTAGTAAATAAATTTAATCCACTGAACAAACACTGCTGTGGTAATATAAAAACACTCTCCCAACAGCATACTGTTTCTTTTGAGCCTAATTCCTAGTCAAATTAAAATGATATAGTTGTATATGTCACTTCTGATGGTATTTTGTGTAGATATATGGCCAGACGTGCAGTCAACCAATAACATTAGAGCGACAGCACTACGAACGCCCACAAGCGGCTTCACAGTACAGAGACAAGCGACATGTAGCGACAAAATCGCTGGCGGTGTGAACGGGGCTTAAGTCTAAGCGCAACTTATGCGAGTAATGCGACGCACTGCTGATATTTACGCTACGCCATGACACACTACGCTACTTCCGACGTCACAAGTTGCCCTTTAGGTGTAAGTAGACTGCGTATGGACGTTTCGCCGGAAGCTATCATTTTACTTTGTAACGTGTTAAAGCTGCCGTCGGCAACATTTTTTGATCAAATTCAGTGAAATCGACACTATAATCCGACAGAACAACATAAATAAAGTGGTTTTAGAAAAAACCCGAGCTTCTAACTCCACCTGGAGCTTTTGTTTTGCAAAAATCCACAGCTCCCGGATCATCGGGTCCAATCAGCGCAGTGAGATCTGACTGTCAATCACAGATCGGGCACACGCCACCCCTCACGCACGTTACAGTCACATGCACACGCCTGAAGTTCGCGCAGTAACGAAGAGTGATGGCGGATGTATCTCACTTTCAAAAAACTAACAAATCAAGTAAGCTCATTTAGAGTATAAATGACGTTAGCAATTGCAATCTATCTGTAGATTAGCCAGGACAGCATACCTCCAAATACTCCATGGTGTTGATGGATGCTGATGAGACGGGCGCGTTCACAGATAACCTGGTGCACACGCACTAACGAGCACAAACTCGGTGGGAGGGTATCCGTTGATAGTGGGGGAGGCGCATGAGAGTTGCAAACATTCAAAATTTTGAAAGTCCACTCAATCTGCCAGACTTGCCGACTGCAGCTTTAAATATGAATATTTTTCTTACACAAACTTATCCCTGGCTTCAGAAGGCCTTCATTAACCCCCCGGAGCCGTGTGGAGATCGTTTATCACGGATAGATGCACTTTTATGGACTTCAAAACAGAAACGGCCATTCACTGCCATTATAAAGCTTGGAAGAGTCAGGACATTTTTTATTATAACTCCGATAGTATTCGTCTCAAAGAAGAAAATCATATACACCTAGGATGGCTTGAGGGTGAGTAAATCATGGGGTAATTTTCACTTTTGGGTGAACTATCCCTTTAACTAAAATGACTTAACAATGAGCAATACATTTGTTACTGTATTGGTTCATCTTTGTTAATGTTAGTTAATAAAAAGACAGCGGTTCATTGTATTAGTAAATGTTGAAATTAATATTAACTAAGATTAATAAATGCTGTAGAAGTATTGTTCATTCTTAGTTCATGTTAACTAAGGTAGTTAACTAATGTTAACTAATGAACGTTATTGTAAAGTGTTACCGAAGTTTCTTATGCTCAACAAGGCTGCAATTAGAGCTGCACGATTCTGGAGAAATTGAGAATCACGTTTTTTTTAATTAAAATAGAGAACACGATTATTACACGATTCTAAACAGCCAACTAAACAAAATAACATGCAATTTACTAGAGGTTCTGACAAAATGTTAATTGCTGCAGTGTATTTAAAAAATATTGAATTAACTTTGAAGCAAGTCGGTTTGAATGAATGATTCAACGACTCGCTCATAAAGACCTCACTTGTTTCATTACTGGATGAATTAGCGCTTTTGAATTAATCTCTTGAATAAATTATTTAATGACAAATACAATTTAAGTCACTTGTCGCCATCTACCAGTGTAACGGTGTGATTAATACAATCTTTACTTGAAGCGTCAAGTTACTTTTTAAAAAGGTGATTTACTCTATTTTGATTGCTACCGCAGACATCAGTGTTGATATACGAACTATAGACTTTTATTACTGAGATCATCTGAATTATTCGATGATTCTGTCTGGTTGAAAAGACTGTTTGTAAAGCTGTTTCACACCTATCCGAAACAACTGCTCTCTCTGGCTCAGCGGCAGCACCAGAACAGCATTTATTTGAAATAGAAATATTTTGTAACAAATGTAAATGTAAAAGAACACTTACAAATGGGTCTTTAAGAATGAATATTCATCTTTTTGCTGTGAAAATGTGCTCATAAAGCATTCATCTGCTACCTCTTTCTTACCTGAGCGCACTATCTCCGACTCCGAGACATCCTCTAAGACTCAACTTCCTTAGGAAGCCTCCACACCGCTTTGAGATGTTCTCCACCACACGACCCTATACATGAAGAGATCTGTTAGCCACCTTCATATTAAAGGGTTAGTTCACCCAAAAATGAAAATTATGTCATTACTGACTCACCCTCATGTCGTTCCAAGCCCGTGAGACCTCCGTTCATCTTCGGAACACAGTTTAAGATATTTTAGATTTAGTCCGAGAGCTTTCTGTCCCTCCATTGAAAATGTATGTACGGTATACTGTCCTTGTCCAGAAAGGAAATAAAGACATCATCAAAGTAGTCCATGTGACATCAGTGGGTTAGTTAGAATGTTTTGAAGCATCGAAAATACATTTTGGTCCAAAAATAACAAAAACTACGACTTTATTCAGCATTGTATTGTCTTCCGGTTCTGTTGTGGATCCGCGTTCAGTGACGCTGCTGACGTGTTATTAGTGCGCCCGAGCTTCGTTTACAGTCTGAGGGAGACGCACGCTGTAAACAAAACAATCTTCGCAAACATGTCTAAGGACTTCCACACAGAGGAAGACTTGCATTTTTTTGCCCAGCCATATTTATTTGAACCCGAATACACGGACGCACCAGACACACGTCAGCAGCGTCTTACGTCAGCAGCGTCACTGAACGCGGATCCACAACAGAACCGGAAGACAATACAATGCTGAATAAAGTCGTAGTTTTTGTTATTTTTGGACCAAAATGTATTTTCGATGCTTCAAAACATTCTAACTAACCCACTGATGTCACATGGACTACTTTGATGATGTCTGTATTTCCTTTCTGGACAAGGACAGTATACCGTACTTACATTTTCAATGGAGGGACAGAAAGCTCTCGGACTAAATCTAAAATATCTTAAACTGTGTTCCGAGATGAACGGAGGTCTTACGGGCTTGGAACGACATGAGGGTGAGTCATTAATGACATCATTTTCATTTCTGGGTGAACTAACCCTTTAAATAACATCTGAAATTGCTTGTATTTTAATAGCTAAAAGAAAATGTTGACTTCATCTGTCAAAAAAAAAAAAACGTCTGTCTACTCACCTCAATGTCTCTCTGGAAGTCAAAGAGGTCAATGCGCTGCCAGTTACTGCCATCCAGGGCTAACAGGTTCCATGACTGAGACAAAGAGAGCAAGTGAGAAACGGAAAGTCAATAATCATAGCAGGCAAGCAACATACAGTATAATTCACAAAATACTGTTTTACTGGAGGGCTCATGAAATGAACAAATGTCAAAATAGACACTTAATGTGCCACAAAACACCAGTCTAATCTATAAAGTCCCTAGACTAAATCACACTTACTCGTGAGACTTGTGCGCAGCGGCAAAGTGTGACTACATCTAGAAATGAGAAGATTCTGTGGGGGAAAAAGAGAAGAGAACATCAAAACCATTAGCAAACATCATTAACAAATAGTTCAGTCATTATTTATATGCTATAAAAACAGCAAAGATGAGGAAACATGATGGAGATGGAGATGATTAATACTATTAACAAAAAGAGATGATTTAAATAAGCAAATGAAGCAGGAAGAAAGAGAAGTATCGGATGGGTTTCACACCAACCGTAACAGCAGTTCCTTCGGCAGCTTCTTGTTAATAACAGCCTCGTCGTTATTGGAGAACATCTGAGGAGAGAGAAAGACAGTCATTTATAAAACTGTGCGTCTTGCGAGTTCAAAGGTCAATGCAGAGGCTTAGGTTTTATAACAAAGTTCTTTAAGGCATTACACAAGCTTCAAATTAAGTTTATATTTTAAGTTCATACAAAGATATGCAATACCAGAGAATGAAATATTATGAATGCATGAAAACTATTTTACAGAAATAACTTTCATGTTACCCAAACGCTGTTTACGGTGTCAAGAATTACTCCTAAAACATGCCTAAGTGCCAGTGTTGTTTTAGTACTATTTATATACTATTATGTTATTTATTCAAATTTTTATTTAGTTTATATCTTTATATTTTCTGTTAATTTTCATTGCAGTTTAGGTCCTTTTGTTTTTAGCAATTTTGTTATGTGCTGTTGTCATTTGTATTATTTATTATTATTTTGTTTTGGTAACACTTTACAATAAGATTCCATTTGTTACCATTAGTTTGTTCATTAGTTTATATGAATCCTATGATATGAATCCTATTGATATGATACTAACAATAAAAAACTTATACAGCATTTATGAATCTTAATTTCAACATTTACTAATACATTATTAAAATCAAAAGTTGTATCTGTATTGTTCATAATGTAAATGCATTAACTAATATCAATAACTAATGAGACCTTATTGTCAAGAGTTATCAATATTAATTCATATTACTAACACTTTACAATATAAGGTCTCAGTTGTTAACATAACTAACCAGAACTAAAAATGTGCAATTCATGTATTACTGTATTTATTCATCTCTGTTAATGTTACTTAATAAAAATAGTCATTCATTGTTCATGTTAGCTCACAGTGCACTAACTAATGTTAACAAATGCAACTTTTGATTTTAATGCATTTGTAAATGTTGAATTTAATATGAACTAAATGCTGTAGAAGTATTTTTCATAGTTAGTAGTTAACTAATAAAAGCTTATTGTAAAGTGTTACCAATTATATTAAACTGTATGTATGCATGTATATGCAAGTTTTTTTAAACGTTAACAAAAATGAATAAATAATTAACATATTTCAGTTTTAGCAATTGTAGTACTTCACTTAAACTTATTTCAGTTAATTGCAAGGCAACAAATCTAATTTTCATTTAATTAAAATTTCAATTACTGAAAATGACTTTTAATAGTTTTAGTCATGAGATGAGTCCTCAAAAAGGACTTTATTTGACCACATATTTCCCCTTAACGTTGCCTTGTAAGGTTTCTTGAACTCTCTCTCCCTCTCTGACCTTTAGAATTGTAACGATCTCTTGCAAAGTTTGTTTGTGCTTCCTCAATCCCACACAAAGCCTTCACACATTCTCTTTTCTAGCTCATGGTAACACTAACAGCAGGAGGAATACCTAAGAGCAGTCCCGGTTTATCTAGACGTAATACTCTCACCACACTCTAGAAAAGTCTGTAAAAATAGGACCCGAAGTACCGTGTTAATAGGAATTGCCCGTATTGAATTTCACCCATATTTTACGCATTGTGTTGTACGGTTAAAGGAAATGTCTGTGTTGTACGGTTAAAGGAAATGTCCATAAACTTGACAGACAATGTCCAATTTTCCTTCATTCTGTCATTTAATTGGCAGTAGTGCCGAATGCATTTTAACATTGAAACAATTAAACAGACTAAATTATTCTGAAAAATAAATTTTATCCCAAACTTAAAAAAGTTGAAATTTAGTCGTATAGGCTTTGACTGTGTGCCGAACATACTAGAAATGAACACCAGAGGTCGTAACTTGGTTTCATCCAACCACAAAAGCTTTTTTCCAAATGGTAACAAGAGAAACAGATTGTCTTTCTGAATAATTCAGACCAGACCGGATGTTCCTTCTTTCTTTTTTTTTGGAGAAGTGACGACCTCACATCCAAAAATAGTGGAGCGCACATAAATTGTTCTGTGTGCACTGGGAATTCCTTTGTAAAAACATGAACACACTGATTTCTATTTCTATCAGTCTGGGATCAAAGTGATTCACTAATCAACAATGAAACCAGCCAGGAAAACCAGTGTCCAATCCCATAAGAATCATCTCTAATAATCAAAAATTGAAGTTTTCGTTCACCCAAAATCATTCAAAATCAAAAGTTACTTGCCCCTTTTCTTCTAAAAGAATGTTAAAATGTTTTTAATACAATGAAAAAGAATGAGTCCTACAACATAAAAGTATAACGTATGACTCGTGCATCATATTTCAACTCTTCTGAAGCCAAATGATAACATTTCAGTTGTTATTCTCTACACACACTCTGAAATCTCACATTCAAACCTGGCAACTCAAGACACACTGTTGCTGGTTTGATGTCAATGCTTTAGAATATATCATGTGTAAGGAACAATTCACATCAAGGGTGATAATAATAACTGAAGTTTTAATAATATGAGAATAGGAAAGTCCACACTAGTACAGATAACAACACGAGCGATATCATTGGAATCACTCTCAGAACTATTGAGTTCAATGATTCAATCACATGCTTTTTTGAGCTTCACGACCCCAAAGTTTGTTTCCTTTCATTATAAGGGGGTCATATAGGTTTAGAACGACATGTGGGCGAGTGAATGATGCCAGAACTTTCATTTTTGGGTGAACTATGCCTTTAAAGCACCGACTCAGCTGAGAGAGAAACAATATGTTAGATAGCTTACAGGTATTCTTTATCACAAACTCTCAGTTGTGTTGTTCCTCTTTCTTTTCACCCATCCATTCTCTTTCCATTTGTTTGTTTGTTTAAGGATGAGCCATGTGACGTGCAGACTGTTACAAACCAGGAATGATTGATCCCTTGTTTCCAGCTCATCAGAAACACTCTATATCGCCGGATGACTTTTCTCATGACCAGCTCCCTTTTATATGTACATGTCTCCTTCAATTGTGGGCGAATCTCTCAAAGATGTGTGTGGGTAATACTGTAATACCAAATAAAAATTAAATATAGTAATTCTGAAGTGTATTATATATTTAGTTTATCATTTTACTGAGAAAATAGTAATTTGTCTCCCTATACTCATAATTTAATGAGAATAATAATCATTAAGAATATACAAAGTACAAATAAAATGTCTAGAGTATATATTTCATCCCATAACAAAAAAAAGAAAATTAAAATTTACTTATATATATATATATATATATATATATATAGCCATTTATATATGTTTGCTTTTATATATATATACCTTGTTTTAAAGCTACATAGCACAAAGTGTTTTATATGTATACAATTATACTACAGCATAATCAGTTATTAATATTTTACTGGATCTCTCATATTTTTGCATGTCTTTATAATTTCTTTGTCTTTATAATTTAATTATTTTGTTACAGTAGGTGTTGTTAATAAGAGTTTGTAAAGCAGCTACTCCTTTTATTTTGTTTCCAGGTTTTCTGAATATAGTAGTAATTTCAATATACAGTAATCTGCTACTGAGTACAGCTCAGCTACTGCACGACACTTCTTGTTATCTCCTCTGTCATATTACGTAGCTTATCATGACAAAAAAAAAGTGACTTCCTGGTTTACATGTAATGCAACACAGTTTCTTGCTCTCTGATTCGCTGGCTATACATTCTGTTGACACATAGGCTAAACAACCCCAAAAACAGTAAGATTTAGGTCAACACTGACTGAGTAGCCAGGTTACCACTGGTACAATAAGGAAATTGTAATATGGCTGCACTCCTTTTACCGTTACAATAGCCAAATGCAACTAAATATGTATGTGAAGTCAAAACCAGTCCACCAGCTGACGCTATATCCATGTTTTCTGACAATATCGCAACAATCAAGGAGCCAAGCATAATATGAGCTGTCAGTTATTTGTAAAGATCACTCTCATGCTGCTCTCTCCAAAACAATGTCCAGATAATCACTCTGATCCTAAAAAAAGAAACAGGCTTAAGCTGGCAACAATGCATCGCTGCTTAAAGACTGATTACATTCATGCCTTTGCAATATACCGAGATTAGGTCTAGTACCTTTACAAACATTTACTATAGTTGTCACAGTTTCCACTTAAATGGCATGGTTGTAATGTCTAATAATGAAGTGTTATGGGTCTTTTAAAAAAATATAAGTAACATTAAAATGTCAGAATGCATGACATTTTAGGCATTTGAATTATTGCATCACAAAGGAAAACTTAATGTTTATTTTATCGTTCACAGTCACATTACTTTTGCTATAGAGGACAATAGTAAATGTTACAGAGATGCATTGCCACTTTCATTATGTTATCATAAGTAAAAAATTAAAATGGCATAGCCTACAAAAGTTGATTTGGAGGTAATGTAACACCGTGGCTTTGGAAGATTGTTCACCGTTTATAGATAGTTAAGTAATTGTGGTTAAAACTGGATACCATCGTAAATTTGCGGTAATCTTATTAGGGTATTGTTACTATTATCTTTAGTAACTTGGCTACAATGTTTCACTGTGACATTGCCTGACTGCCCAGAGTGCATGTCTGTGTGTGTCTGATCTTTAAAAGCAACCATAGACATAAACCCCCGATTAAAGCATCAATACCATGTGTCTCAACATTACGGCTGTGTTTCAAAACCTAGTGAGCTCCCTATCTAGACAGCATCACAGGCGCCCAAAACTGCAACACGAGCCTATGAAGTCCCGAAAATGCAGTCTAGGTAGTCAACTCACTAAGTTTTGAGACACACCCGATGTAAACACAGTTATAACTTGTTTAAACACGGCTGATCTTGAGTCTTCAAGAGGAACAACAAACTAAATGTTTGCGTAACCCGGCCCAACTGCTTTCTGTGGTGATGAGTTGTGATACGCGATGTGTTTTATCGCGTAAAGGCCCGTGTATATATCCAGCTTTTGTTTTGGCCGGCTGCTTTTCCCCACTCCAGCCTGCTGTGGGCCTACCAGCATTATCCGTCTCCTATAATCTCAGCTAACCAGTTTAATTCATAAAAACCATCGAAGCCTACATCGCAACCTACTGTTGCTTCGCGTAAATAAGCGAGACATTTTAAAGCACCTTTTGAGCCACACTAAGCTTTAATCAATGGTTGTGTTTATACAATTCGACACAAAGTAGGCTAGATTTTACAAGAGGAACAAATATATAGCTACTTAAAAGGGATATAATGATGGATTTGATGCTGCCTTTGGTCAACATACATTAATGAATGTGTTTTATAGACTGTCAAGCGATTAGAAGAACTGAACTCGCATTTGATTGCGGAAGCTCGGCCTCTTCTACTGCAATAACACTTATAATCCTACATTATTTCAGGCGTTTAGGAATAAAAACGCAAGACAATTAACATCGACAAGTCAATCTAGAAATAAACAGTGACTACTCGCCTCAAAGCGACTCCGAGAGACGCCGTTCACCTCCTTACCCATCCCGAACACTATAAAGTCGGTAAACCGGAGAGGAAAGCGCGTCCGGTTAATAAAAGGACGCAGATGTGTCGGTGCCGCTGGGTTCCGTCGAGCTCATGCCGTATTTCACTTCATTTCTTCGGGTTTGTATATGGCGAAGATGCAGAAGAGCCCCAGTGGTTGAAGTATGAACAAATCAAGCTTATCTCCTGTTGTGTTGCGGATCACCCCCTCCCCTTTACCATGACAGTTTCCCCATCTGCAAACTACTATTAACTTATTGTTTATAAATATTGCAGTGGTATCTGTCCATAAGAATCTGCCAGTCTGCATTAATATTTAATACTTTAAAGCTATGTGTAATGATGTGGTGACCGTAGTAAAAGTAGTAATTGTCTATGGACAATGTTCATGGTATTTAAGGTCGAATATAACTACTTTATGATATAATATTACCCGTTTTTTTCGTTCTCATATTACCAAACTGGTAATATTATATATTTTATTTAAAAAACAAATATGTGAGCTTTAGATTAATTCAATGTATTATAGTTCTACTCAGAAAGTTAGTTTGTTTGGTGTTCTGAGGAAATACAAATATTTGTGCGGATCAATGTGTGCAAACTACTTGGAAAAAGTGCAATAGTTTATCGTAATGTTGTATGGAAAGTTTACAGACTGTGAATCATTTGTTTTCATGTTATTGTTATGCTCGTTTCCGGGTTGGGTGCGTCAGCTCCTCTTTTAGCGGTCTTAGCCAATAAAAACACAAAGATGGCCTTCGTCATTTGACGTAATCGTGGTGGTAACACGAGGCAGCGTTTTCCCAAACAAATGAAACCAAATGGTACCAAATGGTTGAGCACCGCGGTTTACACATTAGCTTAAGAAAAAGAAAAAATGCATGTAAAATATATATTTACTATTAATTATATTATATTCATAATTATCTTTCCTTACTTTTTACAATTTAGTTATTTTTGCAGAACTGTAAACAACTATAGGCCTATATGCATGAATATAACGTTTCCTGATAAAAACAAAACAATAGAAACCCTTGTAAATTTGTAATGGTTTAAATGATTATAATGGAATTGTATTGGTTTTAATGGGAACTGTAACGGTCCCTGTGGGTCTCTATTGGTGACATGTTAAAACAATTAAATACTAATGGAATATTGCCCAAAACACATTACAGGACAAGGGTGTCCGATCTGTGTAACAAAACCAGCCCAAAGGCCAATCAAAAATAGCCCCTAACAAGCCGAGTGACCCTGTACAAATTTTAAAACTCAACAAATGCCACTCCCAAACCTAAAATACGTATTTTACAATCACTCTTATGCGTTATACACAATTTAATCTTGAAAATCACTAGTAATCATAAACAGTGTTTTGGGAGCTCCAATGCTTTCTCACAAAATTCATAATCTAGCACAATTGTATCATTGGTAGAATGTATAATATTTCAATAGATGCATTTCAGTGAATTACAATTAGGCTACAATTATGTCAAACCTTTAAACCGCTGGGGGGAAAATCAACATGTGAGCCATTCCACCGAAAGGGTGACATTTCTGTTCCCATGGACATTATATGTATAAAATTGTATGAAAATTAAAAAATACATTTTATTATTAAGCAAAATGTCATGCACATTAAGCTAACTACAAATTTAAAATGTATAATTAAAAACATTAATAAAAACTACATAGAACACTAAAAAATAGCATTTTCTGCATGTCCACACTCTATATCTCTAAACTTTACCATGAAATATAATGATTTTTTTTGCATTGTTGTGTGACTTTATATCCAATCTGCTTTAAAATGAAAAAAACAACATTTGATCTAATATTTTAGATAAAATACACATTTTAGTCATGTCCCCGGGTTTTCACTCAGTCCTGTTACACATCCCCCCTCTGAAAAACGTAGAATATTCCACAAGACACATTTTCAACAGTAAGTTGCATCATCTGGATCTTCTGAAGGCAATGGGGCGACCATAAGTAAGTCCTCTCATTTTAATTTCTGTATATTTGATGAAATTGTAACTATGACTGAGAAGGTCAATCTCAACATACGGTCCTGTTACCTAAACTTTTTCTTAGATTTAAATTTTTTATTTTAAAAATATTAACTTTTGGTAAGGCACTAGAAATGGCTCAGTGTCCTCATGCTATCTATGCATCTATGCCTCATGCATCTATGCTATGTGGCCATATGCCATGTATTTGATAACTTTTTGCTTAAAAACTCAATCCTGTTACTTTCAGTCCTGTTACTATTTTTTTCTTTTTCTAAATAAAATAAAATTAAACCACTATTTTTATTAGTTTTGTTTGGCCCATAATTTATACAATTATTTAATAAATTAAATTAAAAAAAGATATATATAAACTTGAGGCTTCGGTCTTCTTTAAAATGAAAAAATGGCTTTGTGTTTTTTATTAAAATAGACCTTGCCTTAATAGTGATTTTATTGTCACAAATATCAATTTTTTGAACATATAACCAACAATTTCTTTAAAATAAACACTTTCTTGTGGGGAAAACAAAGGAATTAATTGACATGCTTTTAAACTTGCTTTTTAAATGGCACATGATTTTCGGTAACAGGATTGAGAAAACATGCGCCCATCTTCAGCTTAAACCTTGTAATTGCCTGAGATTGACCAATACACATTTTAAATAGTTAAATATGTGTAGTAATAGATTCAATGTTGAAAAAGATAAAAAATTAAGTTTAATTTTGAAGAGTTACAACAAGCAAATGTCACCCATTCGGTGGAATGGCCCATGTAGCAATAGTTTACAAATAGCCCAATTCTGCGGGAAAAAAGCTGCCAACTTGGCAAAACTGCCACTGAAACCATTAGGTGATGGTTTTAATGGTTAACGCTTTGATGGTTCATCATTTTTGTAATGGTATTTCATTCATTGGAACGTCTGTGATGGTTTCTATTGTTTTATTCAGAAGGGTGGTAAAATGAAATGCTCTATTAAACTGAAATCTTGCCCATCTCCTACATTTTATTTCAGACACAAGTTTTTCCCCCCATATTGACTGCATACCACTTCTTGATGGTCAGTACATGTACTAACCATCCTAAAGTCACTAATCTCTGATATGTTTAAACCCAAATCAACAAGAAATGCTGCCAATAAAGACTTCAAGGTATGTTTTTAGAGAAAGAGTTATGGCACCTGTGTTCTAGGAATGAACAATCATAAAGTGTTTTCATGCCATCATTTACAAAACTAAGAAAAGTATCATTAAGGAATGTCCCTTATTAATACAAACTCTTTGACACACACACACACACACAAATTGGGCTTCCATGTTTTATATTGATTTTTATGCTGTACAAGTATATTTTATCTTCTAACCCTAAACCCATCACAGAAATCTTTCAGCATTTTTTTTACATTTTCAAAAAACATCATTGATTTATAAGCTGTTTTCCTCATGGGGACATGCAAACAATGTCCCCACAAGAACAAGGATAGAACAAATATATTTTGGATATTGCCATCTTTGTGGGGACATTTTGTACCCATATTGTAGGGTTTACCACGCACACACACAGACACACAGACACACACACACCCACTTGCTTACAAATAATAGCTTTGTACAGGTATATGTAGACTAATATGTAGGCCTATGTAAAATATGTAATAGCAATGTATGAAGTGATCATTATCACATCAGATTTTGCTTTATAAATGTAACAGCCTTTAAAATTATTGTAATCACTGTTGGAGACGTGGACTCGCACTCTGACGTCATCTATGCGCGACGTTAACAAATACCGAGCTTTTTGGAAAATATACGGATAACTACAGCAAATTGATCAACTGTTATTTAACTACAACACGGAAACTGCGAACTGGGCATACATTCGCCTTTGATGAATGCTTACGAAGGTGAAATTATACTGCACTTAATGTATTTGTTACACAAGGCTAATATAACCATAGTTGTTGCAAAATTACATTTATTTAACAGCATATTAGCCCTATGTAAATAACGTAGTTCTTAATATGATCGGTCGATTGTTGTGATATTATAAAGATGTAAATACTTAAATAAAAAATATCCATATTCATATATGTGGAGTGGTATAATTGGCATAAACATTAAAAGGCCTCTTGCTTGGGTTGATTCGGAAATTTTTAACAGGTTTGTTTGGAAATTATGTTTAATATGCTTGTTTACGAAGGGAGAGTCTGTAACTTTACACGTGCTACAATAACATAATAGTGTCGGTAATGTATTGTTATTTTGTCTTATTAAACGTATTAAATCAAATTGTTATTACATAATAAATGGAATATAATTATATATAACACAGATTTGACTAAGGAATCAAAAGGTGAGCAAAGTCCAGCTCAAGCGAAACGCGATTGAAGGCGGGGTACAGTTGCCTCTTTTCATTGGCTGTCGCCCAGTTACCATGAAGATTGACAGCGATCTTGTTCTACAGAAGCAGGTTAAACAGGCGATTTTATAGGTTAATAAACTTCCTGCCTAGTTTTCACTATTTACCTACGAAATAATCTATTTATGCGAAAGAACGTTGTTAAGGACGCAATACACAATACATTCTATTCTGATTCTAAATGGAGTAGCCTTTGGTATTTCCTTTTCCGTGGGATGGGCTTAAACCGCGCATGCGCAGAAGAGGCTGCGCATAATTTTGGCTGTAATGGATGAAGTGAATTCTCTCTGAATTAAGGGCCGTGGAGGGTTTTATATCCACGAACATCGCCCAATTTCTAGGTCTGGTCTCTTTCCAGAGCCGCTTAAGTGAACTGGAATCAATTTTAACACATAAATATGTGATAATTTGCGATGAATATGAAACTACAGAGAGTTTACACTCAACATTAAAGCGAATATGTGAACAAGAAGCAAGCGGGTCAAGTTTTATTTTCAGTTATGTGGGACAATATCCCTACAGAGCGAGCTTTACTGCTTCAAAGCTCAGAAACCGTGTGCAAGGAGAGCTAAACATCTGTTTAGGCTTTGATATCGAACAAGGATAAACAATCTAAAACAAGGACATCCTGTATTTTTCTTCTTTCTTTTTGTCTTTTCGAGGGACGCTAGCTTAGCTAAAGCTAGCCGAGAGGCGCGAGCGCAATGCGCTGCTTGAGGCGCCCTGGAAACAAACGACCAGTGATGCCATCGTGAAAGACATATCGTTTAAAAAAAAAAACATTTTTTGTTG